GGTGGCCGTCGAGCTACAAGGACATTAAGGAGTATGTGTTAGCCTGCCCCGTCTGTGCTCGTAATAAACCATCCCATCAACTTCCGGCTGGTCAGCTCCAACCGCTTCCTACCCCTAAACGACCCTGGTCTCACATTGCTCTGGATTTCGTTACAGGACTACCCGTCTCGGGGGGTATGACCACCATCCTCACAGTTATTGACCGGTTCTCCAAGGCTTGCCATCTGATCTCTTTAAAGAAACTTCCTTCTGCTTTTCAGACGGCTCAGCTCCTGGTCAAGCACGTTTTTCGACTACATGGCATCCCGCAGGAGATACTGTCTGACCGGGGACCTCAATTCGTAGCGCGGGTATGTAAACATTTTTGTGCAGCCTTGGGGGCTAAAGTTTCCTTGTCCTCTGGTTATCATCCACAGAGTAATGGCCAAACTGAACGCATGAACCAGGAGCTGGAAGCCATGCTCAGATGCCTCACATCGACCAACCCCACCGACTGGAACAAGTACCTTTCGTGGGTCGAGTATGCTCACATCTCCTCCGCTACTGGTCTCTCCCCTTTTGAAATCTCATTAGGGTACCAACCTCCGTTGTTTCCTTCAGAAGAGAAGGTCATTGCTGTCACCTCGGTGCAACACCACCTCCGCCGCTGCAGGGCTGTCTGGAAGACTGCAGTGTCCGCCCTTAATCGCACCCTGGGACAGAACCGCGGATTTGCTGACCGCAGACGGAAACCTGCACCTGTCTATACTCCAGGTCAACAGGTTTGGCTCTCAACCAAGGATATACCGCTAAAATCCATGTCTAAGAAGCTGTCCCCCCGTTTTATTGGGCCGTACAAAGTCGAATCAGTTATCAGTCCATCAGCGGTCCGTCTTCAGCTACCCTCTTCACTCAGAGTTCATCCCACCTTTCACGTTTCCCAAATCAAGCCCGTTGTTTCCAGTTCCTTGCACCCGCCACCAGAACCCCCTCCGCCCGCCCGAGAGTTTGAAGGGGGCCCCGTTTACTCTGTCCGCCAGATTGTCGATTCCCGCAGGCGGGGTAGGGGTTGGCAATACTTAGTAGATTGGGAGGGTTACGGCCCTGAGCACCGTCAATGGGTTCCCGCCTCTTATATTGTTGACCCGTCTCTTATTTCGGACTACCGCTCCTCTCTCCCTTCGGGGTCTGCGGGACCGCCAGGTGGCGGTCATTGAGGGGGGGGTACTGTTAGGATCTAGGGAAGGCTGGTTGGGGGGTCTCTAGTTTCTCCACCAGGGGGCATCCTGGGACCTTCTGGAGGGCGTGAACCTGGAGCTGCACACCTGCTGCCACTTACCATTGTTTGGAGGGGTTTATCAGGAGCCGCCGACACTCCAGTGCCAGAGTGTTAGCCTGTGATGGTAATATCATTGTAGCGCACCTCCAACCACCTGTTCTCCGAGTAACTTCCTTTTGTGCTGCCTTTCCTAGGTTGTCGTTCCGTGAATCCCTGAGTTTCTTCAAACATCTACGAACCTGGGCAGATTACCAAAGATCCTCGAGACCCCGCGGAGTTTACCCGTTGGTGGCCACATCCCTGGGACCAGCTCTCAGTCCTGTCGGTGGCAGATCCCTGGTCAAACGGATCCCTTCCGGCTCCTTATCTGAGATCACCCTCCACTCACCTGTCCGCCCTCTAGAGAAGCTCACGCCCTTGTTCCAGCCTGCAGCTCCGGATCCTAGCGGTACACCTCTCCGTGCTCAGACGAGCTCACCAGCAAGTAGGTCTCTGGCTGGACTACAAATTCCCACGATCTCTGAACCCCTCTTACCTGTCTTATCTCCACCCAGTGATCCAGAACCACGAAGACGAGCACCAGTTCCGGACCTCCTTGTACATACCTGTTAGCACTGTATTTAATAAACCACCATAACCTTTACCCGTCTCCAGAGTGTGTTCTGCGCATGTGGGTTCGACAAATTAACCTCAACATGACACAGGGTGATGAAAAGGTCTGAATAGATGACGATTATGGTCATAAATCTACTGGTGCATTGGGCATGGAACTCATAGTGCTCTTTCTAATCTCGCTCTNAGGCTTCCTGGGACGAGAGAACAACAAAGTCTGAGATTATGATTGGTCAAACTAAACTTTCTGTTGACAGAACTGGTAGAGGATCACGCTAACTGCACAGTCTGCGCTTCTGTTGGCTTCTGTTTTCTTTTCACCTTTGTGAAAATGAAGCACTGTGGTTGTTTGCGATCTTTTCCCTGTTGGCGTGTTCGTTAACAGATTGTCTCCTCTGTGTGCTGCTGCAGCTCCCCCATCCGAAGACGCTCCCACTACGACAGGTCTGATGAGGAAGAGGAAGAAGTGAAAGAGGGCGGTCCTGGGACGACCAGCTCGTCCTGCTCCAGATACAGATACAGCAGTCATTTGAAAGATGATGAAGATTATGATGATGAGGAGGAGGTGTCGTAGTGTACTCGCTCAGATGTAACACTTTGCTTTGCATGCAGAATTGGCTACAGTGTTGGACAATCATGCACAACAGTAATGCAGTGGTCTGCTCTAGAGCGGATGCAGCAATGTACGCTGGTAGCTGCTTGAACTGCAGGCTCTGCCACACACAAGCTCTTTGTCCACAGTTCACACCTTCAACACCAAAATCCTACAGGTTTTCATGTATTGCCAAAAAGCATTAGCCAGCTGTACATGTGTACACTTTGTAACCGTTTAACAATGAATGCTAAGACCTAAGAAAAGCACCAGCATCCGTTCCTTCTTTCTTTGAACAAGAGCCATGTTAAGAAGCAGATAGGTGGACTGTCCGGCTTCCTGAGCTGCTGCACTGTAAATCCATGATGCTCATTATCATGTACTTATTGTAGTCTCATAAAGTTTGCTCTTTGTTTTCCTGCAGTATCTCCCCATCCTGTACTCCCAAAGACTCTCTTTGGGAGTCTTTTCTCCCAAAGAGAGAAGACTGCATCACTTAGATGCTACAAGGATCTTTTTTTTTCCTCCTGAAAACTTTAACAGTTTGAAGTTAACTTGAATTTCCAAAGTAAATACCAGATTAAAACACAGTGGCTTTGTTGTTGCATTTGCTATTCACACACTGTTTTAATTTTGATATAGTTTCCTTCTTCATGGATGTTGCACCATTTTATTTTTTATATTATTGTTTTCCCAGAATTTGTTGACTTGCATGCTGTCATGCTGAAAATGCCTTTTTTAAGAAAAAATTCAGGGACCTATTTTTGTTTTGTTTTTTGCTAATAAGCGATAATACAGCCCAGGTATGAAAGCAAAATGTTAAGTTTTTATTTGTTTTTGGTTTTTTTTGTTTTTTTAAACAAAGAATTGATGGAGTTCAGTCTGGGTGGGACACCATGAAATGCTCATTATCTGCAGCAAGAACAAGGCCATGTCTGGTTTTCCTCTGGTGCTTCTTCACATGAACACCTTCACCTCCACACACAGCCATGGAACAGCTTGTCGTTGCCAGGGCAGCTACTTAAGCTCTATGGCAACCTGTCACCATGTGGGTGCAGCAGTAGTCTGGCAGTGTGCATGTGCTACCAACCACTTAGCATGATAGTGTTACTCAAACTGTTTAACTTCCTGAATTGTTCAAGTGAAATCCCACTCCAACACATTTATAATTTACTCAGTAAAGTGGACTAATTCAGGAATTAGATCATCAACATAAAAATCCCCAGTAAGACCCTGTTTTATGTTCCAGTGTGTTTAAATGAGCTGAACAACCCTTTGAGTTTAGTGCATCACTCCTAACTAGTAACCAGAAAAGGTTCTTAAAACACAGACAGCCCTGCGACAGCCTCATTCATATGCTGGAAGCACTGATCTGCACAAACAGAGAACCCCTTCCCATCACAGTAACCACTACTTGATCACATGACCAGTTCCAGATGGTACTTCCTGATTCTGACATCATTTTAGCTTCACATTTCTGCTGTGTGTGCGTGCGTGCGTGAATGAATCACACATTACTGCATCTGCTTTACTGCTTTCATACTGATGTTTTTAAAACTGCCTATAAACTACTTAATTTAAGTTAAAAAATACAAAGAAAAAACAAAACTTATTGATGTCATCTTTCTGCTGACTCGGCAACATGACTGAGTCAGAGTTGTATATTGAAATGGTGTAAATGTGTAATAAGGTAACGGCATGTAAATGATTGAAAGGATTAATGAGACACTGGAAAATATTTAGTGTACAGAGCCGGAGTGGGAGGCTGAGGCAGAGCGGCCTGATCAACCTCTCTGTGACCAGGAGGCAGACCCGCTGCTCCCACTCCAAGCATCATGTTTGGATCTTTTATTGGTTCTGGCGTCGACGATCCACACGTCTCCATCATTCCTAACTAACCCACAGTCTGTGGAACCAAAATCATGTTTAAGCCGTTTGGTGGAGTTGCTTTACTATGTCACATTTTGCTCATTTTAATTTGAGCAACAAGAAAATCTATTCTGAAACCTGAACATGTGTTCAGTTACTTGACGTGTGGTAATGAGTTTCAGTGTGAGAGTCGTTTTGGGTCCGGTCAAAGGCGAGTCCATGTCGTCTGTCTGAGAGATTTGGGTGGAATTTTACAATATGTGATTTTTGGAAGCTTTCTTAATATATCTGATATCGACACAAAAGTGAACGTATTTTTACTGACATGCACCTCTTTTTTTTTTTTTTGGCTAACCCCTTATTCACTGTATTTATATACAAAACATGTATGATTCATTTTAGCTTTGGAAAACTCTCGTTTCTTTTCTTCACTGAAAAACTGACCACTTGTTAATTTTATCTTTGCAATATTGTAAATAAATTCTAGTTATTGACTTGAAGCGCTTTTTCTGACTCAGCGAGTTATTGCTGTCAGCTTTCTAAAGAGTCTTCCTCATTGATTATTTTCACACATAAAAATAATGAATGGTAACTCAGGAGAATGTCTCCTGGGAGAAAAGGAAAGCTCCAGCAGCTTGTTACCAAGAGGAAGCTCTGAGAACAGCTGGTATGTCTTGCATGTAAAAAGTAAAATAAGAAAATCTTTCTGTTGACACACATGAAATTACTGAGGATCTACATCAACAGTTACTGTTGGAAGAAGTTTCATTCAGATACAATTTTATTCTCGTATATCAAGTCAGACTAAAAATGGAAAGGTCTGAATGTCAAAATTTAAAAGTGATAGGAAGAGAAAAACAACTTCACTTGTGAAATTATTTGACTCAAAGTGTTTTTGCTTTGTAATAAGATCCTCTTCAGGTGGTTACTAAGGTTTAAACTTTAGATGGTGAAGTCACTATAAAGTAAGCAAAGTAAATGAGAAATTCATGTAGTGTAAATGGCTGGCTGTTAAACACACCTTGTCTTTAGGAGCTCTAAAACTGGTGACATCATGTAAACTGAATGAAAGAGTTGGAGGAAGGCTTCATGAATCCAGACCCGATCCTACAAAGCTGATTTCATGTGTGACTGGAAACGCCTGATTTTGAAAGATGAAAGGTCAAAGGAGGGCACTTCTCCCAGGCTGAGCTCACACAGGAGCTTACCAATGACTGGGCCGAACTTGAAGCCATGACCTAAAGGAGAGGAATCATAGAAGTAAAAAAAAATAAGTAAATAAGATCCATGTCACAACAAAGACAACTAAAGACCGAGGCTAACAGGAGACAGCTGAGCCTCCACAGTGTAACTACATGCTCAACATTTTGGGAGATTCTCTGCATGAATCACATAGAGCTTCCCACATTTTGTACAATGAACTTTCAGAAAAGGCCTAAATAAAATGAATTGATATATTTTACTTTGAACAGAGAGATTTTTCTATAATTCAAAGAAAATACATTAGTCTGCTGACAAAAAAAAATCCCCCCTGCACAACAGCAGGAGGAGCTGTAGTCCAACATATCACAGGATATAAACATTAAAAGGAAACAAGTTATCCTGGCTCAGTGATTTCAAAAACACTTAGATTTGTGATCTGGTGATCAACGGTAGGAGAGGTTGTAGTAACTGTCATGGCGTCCTGGTTTCCAATATACGACTCTTTAGTTGGCTTTGATGTTTTTGGAAATATACCTGAGAATCCTGCTCCAATGACGATGTTGCTGTAGTTCGGATGGTAATCCAACACAAAGTGGCGATCAGGTGTTAGCTACAAAAACAAAACAAGCAAAATAGAACAAGTCATATATGAAATATTTTACTGATACATAAAGGCAATCTGAATTATGCACATATATGTTTTTCCCCTGCAATTTCAGATTTTCTGCCTCATTTATTAAACCTCTGCAGCTATTTTTAAAGCCCTTTTAAAAAAATAATCAAAATTCTGCCTCTGGAAGAACAGACAACACTCACTAATACCAAAGGGCCAACTCTCAGAAAAGGACATTTTTAGTTCACCACAAGAAGGCGTGAATGATATGAGGCTGAGAACAAAATGATCTGATTTTCACCCCACTGCTGCAAGAAGGAAAACTGATTTCAGATGTTCAGCCTGACCTTCAGAGACTTTACGCCTGAGTAGAAATACTAACACAGAGCAAACCCAAAACAACCCCAGAACGTGACACTTCAAGGCAGAAATACTTCTGAGGGTTTCTCCTCCACCCTTACTGTATACATGCAGCTCTCCACCACAGCAGGCTCAGGAACCAGGCCGGGTATGCATCTGGAAACGTATCGCTTCAGGATATCGATGTCAGACGTGTCCGTCTGCAAGTCTCTGTAATCCGGGTCAGTCTTGCTGCCTATGTGGTAGCATATCTGTACACACAGTGAGAATACATGGGCCAACAATCATTGCACTCCAAACGCTCCTTTGCAATCTGAATATTGCACACACTAATATTGCGACGATGATATTTTGAGCAGCCTCACTTTCAATAGTTGAGGAAATGCTGGATGTGTATTACACACTCACCCACCTTCACCAAGTCTGGGTATTCATTCGACGGGAGGCCATAAATGTGTTCTTTGCTCTCCAAACTCCCAGTGACCACAAAGCATGGAAAATGCTGCTTCACACCATAAGTCCCAGGAGTCTTCTCTTTCCAGTAGCACACATTGATCTTAACAGTCTGTTGTGCAAAGACAGCAATATAGCTCAGTCAGACATGCATCCTAACCGTCCAGCAAAATGGTTGCTAACCATTTCTGCTGGATGATAAATTGTCCCAGAACGCAGGGCCGGCCCAAGGCATTAGGGCCCCAGGGCCACCAAAGGGTCCCCTCAGTGGAGCTGATTTTTTTTTTTTAGTAATAATTTCTATGTCATTGTAATATCAAAAACACACAATTTCACTATGAAGTGATTTGTTTTTACAATAATATATATTTGATAATGTATGTAGAAATTATTATTTTATTGATAAAAAGAAAAAAAAATGTTCTTGGGGGGCCCCTGGTGGCCGCGGTAGGTACTGCATGCTTCGCTGGTGTTACATGAGCTGCAATGAGCAGAGCAGCCAAACCTCCAAAGCTCTGATCAGAAGTTAAGTTAGCAAAACAATGTCTCAAAAAAGGACTTATCCTTCAGGGAGGGAGAAAAGAAAGAGGAAGAACTGAAAAAAGCCAAGATAAAGGTTTGTTTCAATGAGCCTTGGTAATGTTTAACAGAAAGATTACTGGAGCAGCTAATAGAAAATTAGCTTGATAGCGACCTGGAACAGTCCAGTTCAACAGCCAAACATTTATGCTAAGGTCTTTGTGTTTGTGTGAAGCTCAGTTTTAACTTTAAATGAGTTTATTCTCCTGCTTGGCTCTGTATATTTCTGAGGTATTTTTGGCTTCAAAACGCTGAGTTTGATAACAATAATTGAACCTTCCCAATGTTTGACATTGTCTAGCAAAATGTTTTTATGTCAGGCTACATAGCTGCTACATCGATGAGCTGCTCTATGCTGTAGTTGGGGATATGTTGTTTGCTGCTGAGCATAATCATTTTGTGGCTAAAACAAACATTTTTACATCAACTTCTAAGTGAAACTATTGTTAAAATCATTTGAAGGCTCAGAATCAGTCTAGTACCGGTACCGGTCCGCATTCTCAGGGGAGAAAGACTCACCTGGTATAAATTAAATTTTTAGCAATTGGAGTTACGCTTAAGAGAAATTTATTTAATCAAAGAGTGTCATGAATATGTGTGTAGAGCTGCACCGATTGCAGTTTTCTGGCCGATCCCTGGTTACCGATCTTTAAAATGCTTGATCTGCCCATTTTGATTTTGGCTGATATAATTTTTTTTTTGTCTGAAATGTAGGGTATAGCAATATAGCAAGAAAGTCACTGTTGGCAACAGTGGGATGAATATTAACTGTAAATGTTCAGACCTGACCTGGTGGGTTGGTCTGTCAGTCAAACCTCTCACTGCAGAGCAGAAGAGGACAGAGACTGATTTATAAACCTTTGCTGACAAAGATAAGATTAGGGGATAAGATGGGCTTCACGTGCAAGTATCAGCCAATCACAATCCCCCAAAATTAAAGAAATCAGCACCCAGAAATAGGCCTGTCGCGATAAACGATAAATCAATTAATCACACGATAAATTAAACCTGCCAACCTCATTTTAATTATCGGCTTTATCGTCTCTTCCTGCCATTTTTTCTTTCTGTTGATGACACTGAATGAAAAAAGACTCAGCTCCGGTGCTCTCCACTGACCCTCCCTTCCTTAGTGTAATGTCCAGCTCACACTACACGAGTTGTCGGCCCATTTTCAAAACCTGAGAGACACATTAGCCGACAAAAATCCTAGGCATAACGGTTCAGTCGGGTTCGATCGTGCCGTGTGGTGTCCAGCCACATGGGCACAAAATAATGGCTACAAGTCCAGTTAACTAATTTTACTCAGCCATTAATCAATGCTTTATTAGAATCTACCTGTGATGCATGTGGCTTAGTCAGCGTAAAGTCCTGACTGAATGAAAATCATTATAACCTAACTATGTCTTGGGCCGGCCCTGCCAGAATGTATTGCGATAAACAATAATATTGTTGTTTTGGGACTATTTTCAAGTACTGTGATAGTAATAATGGCATAATAAAGCAAGAACACATTCTCAAGGATCAATAAACTTTAAATTCTAATAAACATTTAAACACTAGAACTGGAGAACATTTGAAATATCCAAAAGAAAGAAAGAAAACAACAGAAACAACAAATAAAATGAATTATAAAGTCTCTGTAAACAAAATTGTCTTTCAACAATAAAAAAAAAAGGGATAGTTGAGACCACAGCACCAGACTGACGACCAGTTTTGGTAGAAAGACAGAGAAAAGAGAAAAATGATGAATCAAGAAAATGAAAATGATTGAGTTTCTTGTCATTTATTATGCAATTAATTGATTTGTGGTGTATTGTGACAGGTGTATTCATTTGTTCAGGAATGGGGATCATTGTGAAGTCAGTCAAATAGAACCGTCAGCTGGGTTTCCTTAGGTGGCAGAGTTTGACCTAAACTTCTGTAAACTGCAGAATGGATACATTTATAACCATTTCTATTGGGAATTCTCATGTTGGGGGCTTTTCTAGGTTCTCTACTGGATAACTGAACTGGGGCTTGTGTCTGTATTTCTCAGGTTCCCTTGACAGTGACTCTGGTTTGGTACCAGTCATTAATGAAAAGGTCCGTTCCAGCCCTGCAACATGTGTTGTGTTTATCCCTGTGGGTGCAGTAGTCACTCATCTTTGAAAATGATGGGATTCATACTGAAACCTGAGGAGTTCAGAGAGACGGACGGATCAGAGGAAGGCTGCTGAAAACCATCTACAGACCTAACAGATTCCTAATTAAACTGTTTGAATTTAAATCACTTTGTAGGAATTTACAAACTAAGTTTTATCTAAAGTGATGCTTAATGTGCAATTAAGGCAGGAAATATGTAGCCAGAAAAAAGGAAAAACTGAATCAACATTCAGCATAGACCCTGTATTCTAACTTTGTGATCTTGATATTTAAATACGTTGCATTTTGTTTAATAAAGCTAATATAATCAAATTGATTCTGTGGCATGTGGCATACAATACATGCTGTCATCTCAACACTATTACACATTACACCATGTGTGAATACCTCCAGTGGTAACTGGAAACCAGTATGAGCCAGGAGCTTATTGGTCCAGGGTCCAGCAGTGATCACCACATTTCTCGCTTGATAAACTCCTCCAGAGGTCATCACCTTGACAACAGGACCAGGCTTGATTTCTGTAACCTTCTCGTTGTCTTGTATGACCCCACCCAACTTCTGAAACTGATCCTGGAGAAACAAAACCAAACATGTTCCAGGAATGTTTCAAATTAAAGAAAAAAATAAAAACTGTTTATATCAGGACATTATTTCTAAGCATCATGTCATCTAGTAGTTCTTGTGCAGACAGGATTCTTTTTTTTTTTTAAGAAATAAAGTAAACATGTATTTCTACTCAAATCAGGTTAACACAAATAACTTTAATATCATGTCTGGATATCTTATAGAATTAAGATTGCAAAAAACACATGGTTGTACTTTTGTACTTTATGCTACATTAAGTTAATGTTTCCAACAGGTAGCTATACTTTTAAACAAAGTTAAATGAATATAAATGAGATGCCTGCGTTGCAGTGAAGCTGAGCCGTACCTGAACCGCTTTCAGGGCCCGGTCTGCAAACAGAACGCCGCCGGTTACATCCAGCAGGGCGCCGTGGCCCTCAGACAGAACCACGTTGGGGATGTGCTGGTGGAAGTTATCACGGCTCAGAATCACCGTGGGAACCTTGTTCTTCAACAAGGTGTTCTTGACCAGCGGGTAATCCCCACTGGTTTCTGGTCCCATGACTAACAGTCCAGTTTGTCTGTGAGGAGAGATGAAGGCGGCAGGGTGGACGGACAGTTTAAACACACAATTTGTTCTACTAATAGAAAACAAGCTAATGTAAAAGTGAAAGGCCACTACTAATATTATAAGTGTCACATCCAGCTGAAGTACAAAAGTACATATTTGTAACTGTGCAGCACACAGTTACATTAGGAAAAAAAAATATTTTGTGGAAAAAGTGAAACATTTTGCATGTTCTTCCTGTGCAAGCAAGACCTAGTTCTTCACCCCCAAAACACAATGTTTGGTTAATTAGTTTCTCTAATTTTCTCCTTGAGTGAAATTAATCACTCAATGTGTGTGCGTGCGTGCGGATTGTTTGTCCATTGTTGACCACCACTCCCTGCAGCCCTGCAAAGGTAACCGATATGTACATACTTTTTGAAATGACTGATGAAAGATATTGAACTTTTGCCACAATATTACATTGTTTTAGATTTAATATTTACAGTTTCTTGATTCTCAGTCTGGGCAAGCCTTCATGTTGTGTTTAAACAGTTTTCCACTCTGCATCTTAGCTGATGCCTGACCTGTACAGCGTCACTCCGGCCTCCTTCTCCAGCTGGGCCCACAGCTGGTAGCCCTCCCCCATCATCTGCGTGTAAATGTCCTGCTCATAGGCTCTACGTATGATGCGAGTCTGACCATGGGAGCTCCCTCTGGTGTGAGGCAGAACGAACTGGACAAAAATGGTTCAGATTAAGGAAAGAGAAAACCTGCTGCTGAAGTGAAGTAAGCATGTCCTACTGTATACAAAAACTGCAGCTGTGATCTACTCAAGTACAGAAAATGATTTGCTTAGTGTAAAAAAAAAAAAAGATTATGAATCTCTTTGAGGCTTGTCTGTTTAATAATGCATTCGGGTTTATTTATACAGCCCCAACACACACTATTAAAAAAAAAAACATCTCTAATTTATGGTAAAATCCCAGTAGCTGTGGTTGCCGGTGTTTATACGGTAAAATTCTGGCAACCACAGCTGCTGGGATTTTACTGTAAATCAGCGATATTGCCTTTTTTTTTTTTTTTACAGTGCACAACGATTATCATGTCAAAGCACTTTACAAAAAGAATGCGAATCAATCCAATTCATATAGGCAGATTCCATATGATTGTATTCCTATCGGATCCTGCGTTAAACAATGACAGCGTCCCTTTAACAGAAAGAAAACCTGAACAGACTCTGACTCACAGCGGGCAGCCGTCCACAAAAACACACCCGGTCAGACTGAGCAGTATTGAATATGTTACATAAGAAGAAGAGAGATGATGACAGTAGAAGCTCTGAGCCCATTTCAAAGCTCGGCGCTTTTCATCTCAGCCACCAATAAAAGCTCAGCTGTCAGAATTATTTTATTGATTTGACTGTAGAGAGACGGAAAACAGTTTTTTCTCTTCCGTTTATTTCATCAGCTCTTAGCAGTGATGAATTCATGTAAATCTTTGTCAATAAAATGTATTCTATTAGAAATAAAATCATCGGCATCATCCCAAATATGATTACTAAGTCTGTAGTAGTGAGGTAGTCCTGGAGAAAACTGTAAAACTTGATCTGTTTTACTAGCCTTTAGATTTTATTAGCTGAATCAAAACCTTCAACTTGCATGTTGGACCCAATCAAATAATGTAAAGAAATGGACCCTTTAATTTCTGCCCCCATTTCAGAAATGATTCTTCTGTCCTGAGTAAATGGTTTTAAGTAAGCTGCAGCTGAACTTTTCATTTTACCGATGAAAACTTTTCTTGATCAAGGCAGTTTAATAAATTACAGACCTCTTTCTAATCTTCCTGTCTTATTGAAAGGAGTTACTAATCAAGAGTGTGAACATCTATACAGTAATGACTGTCAGAGCTCATCATAACACTGAAGGCACACTGCTAAATGTCACTGATGCTCTCCTTGGCTCAGTTGCAGGACTGGTGCCTGTACTGGACCTGTTGGACCTCAGTGCTGATTTTAACACATCCATCACAATGTCTTCTTAGAACAGTTTGAACATGTGGGCATCAAGGGAACAGCAGGCTGGTTGAAACCAGGTTACAGGTTTTTCCATGTTTATGATCAAACTTCTTCACACTCCAATGTCCGTTGTGGAGTACCACAGGGTTCAGTGCTTGAGCTAAAACACTTGGGAACGTTATCAGACGACATAGGAAAATATCAAATCATAATGATAATATTCAGCTATATTTTATCCATAAATCCTGATTAATTTAGTCAGTTAAGTAAACTACATGCATGTCTCAAAGACATAAAATGCAGATAACTTTAGTCAAGCTTTGGCGCATTGTAGAGCATGTTCATAGGATAATTGTTGTTTTTGTCGTTTCATTGGTTCCAGTTGGTAAGAAACAAACCAATTCATGATGAGTTGATTTTGTTATGAAAATAGTAAATGTCTTGTACTTGTATAGCTCTTCATCAAGTCCAGAGAACCCTACATCCAGACACTTGAATGGCTGTGGCTACAAGCTACAAGCTACTGCATTGTAGCCTCAGCTGCTCTGGAGCAACCTGACAGAGGCAACACTGCCTTGCAATCATTTACATTGTTTATTGTCAGTTCAGCTTGTTCGAGCCGAGTATTACTAAAAATAAATAAAAATTAAATACTGTTGAATATGCCATCATTCTCGTTTTCAATATTTATTATTAAAATAGATTATGTAAGGATTTTTTTGACCCTGTCTGTCAAAGTGACAAACAATCGATCTCTGTTGTAACCGTAGTAGACGATTAAGAAGCCAGTTTGATCCGACCTTTACTCGCTCCACTGTCTGCTTCTTAGCAGACCAAAGTGCACCTGTTATACTTATGCAACACCAGACAGTACGCCTCATTTATGGGTCACTTGTTTACAGTCTTGGCTGCAGGCCTGGATAAAATCATGCAGACAGACTAAAGAATGTGAATCAGAACAGCCTGATCTACGCAGATTTACAAATGACACTGTATGTGCTGTTCATCATGCTTCCAATTCAGACACGTTGTGGTTGTTCTTGAAGGAAAGTTAAAACTTTGCAAAAACTTTGTTCCGCAATTGGTGGGTTGCTGGTTCGATCAACTCTCCGTCCAACTCTGTTGTTCTGTCCTTGAGCAGGACGTTTCACGCTTCACCCACCTAACCTGTTGGTGAAGGTTGGAGGGCCCAGTGGAGCCGCAGCACGGCAGCCTCTCTTCTGTCTAATTAATCAATTGGAGCTAATTTTAATATGATAAACCACTAATTGTTTAAGACCCACCTTCACTTTTGTAATCCTTTTCTTTGAATGACAGCTTTCACTGTCAAAATTTACCTTGAAGTGATATTGTTTTTGAACGTCAGTCAGCCTTTAGATGTTACATCTTGTAAATGGAAGCTTCCTTCTCTCCTGGTCATAATGTCCCTTTAATCCCCAACCACTCCTGGTTTGGGTTTTATCAGGTTCCTCTCCTCTCTTTTTCTCTCCTCTCCTCTCTCACTCCTCCTCTTTTCATACTTGAATCTCCTCTACTCCTTGTCAAATCTACCTGAATTTATTTTTCTTCTACTGCAAATACTTCATTTTGTTCTAACAGTAACCAGGTTTAATCTTTTTTTTTTTTTTACATTCCAACAGCTGTTTGAAGACATATGTGATCATTTTTATGCTATTTGTTTCTGAATATTGTTCTACTTTAGCTTATCTGCTAGCTCCTCTCTAGAGGCAGTTCTTTATAGCTATATAGCTTTTTAAAGCTATAAAGAACTGCTACCAATAAAACTTGTCTACCAATTTGTACATTTCAACAACTGTCTTGACCAGCGAGTAGTTTTAAGGTAACTTCATCTTGTTCAGCTGTTTCCAGCTAACAGCCATGGTATTTAAACCAGATCAGGGCTTGCTTTTGTAATCTTTCTGCTAATTTATTGCATTTCAGCAGGTTTTCTGCAGTTTACTTCAAAACTCTCTGCAGTTTATGAGCAGAAAAAGTGTTTTTACATAAAAGGCTCACATACACTTCACATGGTCACAAGTACAATTTCAAAGCAAAAATAAATGATATTTTACACTGAAGTAACTCAAAGACATTCTGAATGTTTGACAGGCTTCAGAATTCTCACATTTTAAAAGTCAGCATCTACATCTTTCTATTGATTTATGGAAATCCTTTTTTTGTTCCTTTAGCTTTTACAATCTGTAAGCATTTTAATTTAAACAATATGCCAGGTGAGTGACAGGCTACACAGAACGGGTAAACAGCTGCAGAAGTAAATGTGATTCTAGTATAAAGGGTAAAATAGCTAACTCAAGACCCAAGACTTTTGGGTTTTGAATTCAGTTTCTGAACAATTATCTTTGTGTCATCAGCGCAACAGGCTGTAGGTTTTTGTGTGTGTGTGTGTGTGTGTGTGTGTGTGTGTGTGTGTGTGTGTGTGTGTATGTGTGTGTGTGTGTGACACACCTCACCTGTTCCAGCAGCAGAGTCTTCTTGTTGTGTTTAGCCAGCTGGTAGGCCGTGAAGGAGCCCTGGACTCCAGCCCCGATCACCACACAGTCATAGTCCTGCTTAGCAGACATGCTGCTGGACTCTTCATGACACACTGTAGTCATACTCAACTCTCAGCCTTTTATAGCTCAGCCTTTTATTTCTCCGCCCACGATCAGTGGAGGAGGACCCAAGCTTATAATTCACTGGAGAACCCAGTGGTCAGGGTCATGTCTGCTGTCTGGACTTCTTGATCAGACCATCTGAGATCTCTTGTTGCTCTGCTGGAGTTACCAGGTGCAGCTGGAGGTCATTGAGGTTTATGGCTTCTGACCTACTGATCCTCTGCATGACTGTCTGCACGCTGAGTTTAAATGGACGCTCTGCTGTCTGGTCTTGTAGTCGGTTGGTGATAACTCAGCTGCTTCTCCACCGCATCAGTTTCTGCCAAGGCAGCTGGTTGGTTGGCCAGAGCATGATCCTCTGACCTGCTGTGAAGGGGAGCAGAACAAATTGTTCCAACATTTGTAGTGTGTTTTTATTTATTTATTTATTTATTCTTTACTTTTTGTGTTTGTTTTGCTTGCATTATTTAATTTACAAACGTGTTTTCCTTTTTTTTTTTTTGATTGATGGCTAATTTGCTTTGGTTGTTGCATTGCATGCTTTTTTTTTTTTTATTTTTTTTTTTACCTGACATAATTGTCAGGTAAAAACAAACAGTATGCCTGAAGCCATGGTTTTAAATAGGATCATGTTTTAAGGAATTGTTAAAATATAATATTGTATGTTGTCTCTCCCTGCTGCCTCTCAGATGATCACTGCTCACTGCGCTGCTTCATTTGTAGTCCCTCCTTTATAATGAATGGCTCTCTGTGAGCAACCCGACGGCCTGACAGGAACATGTCAGTAGCTGCTCCTGTTTTGTGATTGTCTTTTTCTTCTAACCCAAAAGCTAGTGAGTAACTGACATTTTCAGGGAAATATCAGATCCTAAAGAGTTGTTTGCATTCTTTCGGCCTTTCAGTATTTCAGTTTGCTTGATTGTTTCCTTTTCGCTGCTGCTGAACAAACCTGAAAAACAATCTCTCCTGCTGCAAATTCAGACCAAGCTGAAAATCTTTGCAAGAGGAGACAGAAAAGCATTAAATGTAGAAGCAAACAGCTACATGCCAACATCTCTCTAAAGGATTTGAATGCATATGTAATGGCTGATTGGTTGTTTTCTGGCCGTTTACCAGGTTCTGGGACAAAGGGTCATGGAGGGTATGCTCCAGTTCCATCTGGTTTTTTCCTGCGCCTTCGTCATCCAACTTCACACCTGATCAAAGGGCAGCTGTTAGACTCATATCACACCAGACAGCCAGCTTCAGCCATTGGTCACTTGTTTGCAGTATCTCTTGTAGATGTGCAAAAAATAACCTTAGAGAAATGCAGCCATTGCACACTGGAATATTTCTGCCCTGTATACATCATTTAATACCTTTGATGTTTATTATACAAACAAGTTGCTAATAAATCTTTTCACCAACAGCAATACTCAATATTACCCCATGTTGCATAAAATGTAAGTGTTTATATCTAGCCACTGGAAAGTCAATTTCTTAGAAAGCTTGCAGCCAGGCTAGCTTTCTGCTCTGAACAGAGAGGAATACGAAGGCAACACGCTGCCAAGGTGTAACTCGTCTTGTGCTTGAAATTAATGCAGCTCTGCTCTTTGTTTTGCTTTGCATGTGAAGACATACATGCTGTGGCTGTGTGGAGACAAAAGAACCAAAAGGAAGGATTGAGTTAAATGTATCATTTCTAAGCTCATCTGAGCAGGAAAAGGGAAATGTGAACCAGGTTACATGTGTAAAGGATTGAGGTGGCAATTTACTAACATATGAACAGTTCTGAAATGTTTATATGAGGAGGTGATGATTGAAGAAAGTGAAAGAGAGAACACCGTGTGAAAGTTAGCCAATCAGAGGTAGATAATAAGTAGAAGGCCACAGTGACATTGAAATGGATGCAGTGGGACAAGAAGTTGGTTCAGTTGACACCTGTTGAAATATTTTAGAGTATGCAACAGAGAAGATTGTGTACTTTTTAAAGTTGACTGTTAAACTCATTAGGAATGGTTGGGTTCATCTGCTGTTGGGTTGATGTGCAGTAATAACTACAGAGTGACAAAACTGTTGAGTCAAAGGATGTCATGCTGTTGTGTAAGAACAAGAAGCTGGAGAAAATTTTGTGCATAGTTACATATTGATTTTTTTATTGACTAAATTCGCTATCAAAACAATGATTAATAGTTTTCCCCCAATAGTTTTCAGTGCTCCTACTAAAAAGTCCCAGTTTACACTGCAGGCCTTTATGTCCCGTCATCTTATCATTGTTGATCTAACATTACTTTTTAAAATAAACTGTTAAATATGTTTTAATTAAACCTTAAGTTTGATCAGACCAAAATGATTTTTTTAAAAGTAAAATCAAAACTCATCGCTTCTTCAAAATTAACTTTTACAGCAGATAGTGGTCAGGGCCAAAAAGGAGAACAATCAAACATTTTCACCACTGCCTTTACACATGGCAGATGCTCGAATAAACTTGAAGTCAGTATTCACTTAATTCTTCAACTTCAAATTTTATTTCAAAAGCAAAATAATTATTTACTTATTGTGTAGATTTTTTTTCCTCATACAAGCATTAAGTCAGGAGTCTGTGGGTTTCTCTCTTCTCAGTTCTTAAAGTTTTCCACTAGATGGCGCCACACAGCTGCAGCCTCCTGGAGCCAGACCTCCGCAGGCGTGAAGCTGCACAGCTGATGATCAACCTGTTTGATTCAGTGGTTCAGTGATGCAGGAAGATTAAAGAAGTCTCATATAAAATATTTTATAAAGTCTATCCTACAAAGGTATATATTAATTCTATATTCAAGAAAGAATTGAATGTAAATTGTATGTTTTGTGATTCATAACCTCAAACTGTTCTCCCCTTGTTTTGGGAGAATTTCTGTGACTTTATCCACAACAACATAGAAGCACAATTTATGCTTTTATGGGAAGACATCTTACTTGGCCTCATTGGTAAAAACATGCTTAACAATTGTGAGATTCTCACAAATCCTTTATTGTTACTAGCCAAATATCATATTCATTGTTCCAGGTACTCTGAAAGGAAGTCATGCTTTGCTGCATTTTACAATGAAGTAAAGTTTTATATCTGGGCTATCAAAGACTCTGAGAAAAAAATAGCTTAAAACAACTAAAATCTGTACTGCTTTGAATGAACTGTTAGGAACCTAAGCCTCTTAGCTTTTTCTTTTTCTTGAATGCTAAATATCTGTATTTATCTGTATTTACCTGCGTTTTGACTAAAGTCCGAGAGGTTAGAGTCCTTGTCAAACGGCGTTTTGACTAAAGTCCGAAGGGTTGGAGTCCCAGTTGACGGCGTCTCAACTAAAGTTCTACAGCTTTTTATTTCTTTCTCACTGTTTACGTTTTAATGATGTGAAGCCCACCGGAAAACGTTTTGGAGTCCTTAACTGGGACTCTAAGGACTTCAGTTAAACTACGTTTGACTGAAGTCCTAAAAGGGGTGCGGGTTTTAATGTTTTTGTTTTTTTTCAAAATCTCTTTCTCTTTCTCACTGTTTATTACATGCTGTTTTTATTTTAATTATGTAAAGCACTTTGAAATGCCTTGCTGCTGAAATGTGCTATGCAAATAAAATTTGATTGATTGATTGATTGATATTAGGACCAGACTCAAATGAGTTTAATTCTTCAAAAAAAAAATCATTAACAAAGCATAAAGATTTAAAGCAAGAATAAATCAAAGGATAAGTAACATATTTGGATCCAAATTAACTGAGGTCAACTGAACTCTAACTGAACACAAACAAAACTGACCTACAAACAAAGAACAAAAGGCTGCTTAAATAGGAGTGGAGTAACCTAAATCTACCACATGAGGGAGGTACGACATAACAAAAGAACAAATAAATACAAAATTAACTAAGGCATCCTATGAAACAAATAAAGCAAACTAACTTTAACTTAGCACAAACAATAAGTGAATATTTAAGTGACAAAATTAAATTAAAATCAACTTGAAGTCTCCCCCCTTCAGTCTTTCAGAAAATGGTTTGATCCAGGTTCCTCCTCCAGCTGGTTTATGTCAGCAGCACCTCAAACAAAAAACAAGTGTAAGTAAACCATTCAAACAGACATTAACTAAAGTGTGCACCCATTAGGAAATATATGTCTAAATGAAATAAACTTAAACAGACTATAAGCTATACTAATAAAGAAAAAAATACTAACACGATGTGGTGGTGGTAAGAGCATCCACCACATTGAGGCATAACAAATGTTTCACTCCGTTATACCGTTATTGGAATGTCTGAGAATAAAGTTTTTTTTTTCTTTTTAAAAAGACAATATTTTCTCCATTTTTTATTTTTGCATCTTAAGTAGTTTTATGAGTCATTGCCCTTTTCCTTTTATATCAATAAGGTTTTCAGCTGTCGTATTTTTGGTTATATTTTAAATGCCTTGTTACATTCTTTAACTGCTTTACAACATTCATCATTCCACCAAGGAACTACTTTTTTCTTACCTTTTACTTTTATTTTTGGTATGATAGAATTAGCAGGATTTAAAATATATTCTGTTATCTGACTTGTACATTCTTCAATGTTGCCTTTTAATGTTACCATATGACTGGATTTCTCAAAGTTTATTTTACATTTTTGCCAGTTAGCTTTGTTAATAGGAAATCTTCTTACCTGTTTATACTGTCATTAATTATTGTACTCACTGGAAAGTGATTACCTAATGTAGACTCCCAGTTGATATCCCATACACATGAACTTACAAGATAATCATATATTAATGTAATATCAGGACATGAAGCTGTACCTTTATGTATGTTTTCTCTGTAGCTTTTCCACTATTAAGACAAACTAATAGTGGAAAATCCATCATTTCTTCAACTGTGCTACAATTATGATAGATAGATAGATAGATAGATAGATAGATAGATAGATAGATAGATAGATAGATAGATAGAAACCGGATTCCAAAAAAGTTGGGACACTAAACAAATTGTGAATAAAAACTGAATGCAATGATGTGGAGATGGCAAATGTCAATATTTTAT